CTCCCCCATCCCACCGTGGAGGAGGGAGCAAGCAGTGGGGTGATGCTGAGTTGCCAGCCAGGGTTAAACGACAACAACATCATTAGCATCATAACCTCTTTATAAAATCCTACTCCCAAGTTCATTTTACATGCAAAAATTAGACTGATTCTTTGGATGTCTGCTTTAGTGTCCTCCTGAAGTCAATGGTTCTTTTTTTTTACACTTTTCTTTCTTTCTCTTGCTTCATCCAGGGGCTTAGGGTTTGGTTAACTTGCTTCCCTTTACCATTGAAGACATCCTAGAACTACATTAGCTTTACTCACCTCACATAGAGATACTCTTCTATTTTCCTTACTGAATGGAAAGCTTTGCTTGCAATGGCTTTGAGGAGGACAGGACTGAACTAACGTATAAGACTTGAAGAGCTCACATGGGAGGGCTTTGTCACAGTACTAGCCATGTTCCTACTGTTCCTCTAGTCCAGGCAGGAAACCTGCTGGTCAGGCTGGCTTTAGCTCTCACAGTAAACCATGCAGAGGCCAGTTATCAGGGAACAGTGATTATCTCCAACTTGACCCTTTCCACCACAATCTTTTCATCTCTAAGTGTGCAGGCTTAGTTCAAAGGTGCTGTATCTTGGAAGAGGTGGGGATCAAAAAGCACCTTAGCGAACGCAAATCATCCACCACCTCCTGTTTAAAAAGAATTTGTGCTGCACTGCTGTCAGCATGGAAGCGATGCTTATAGTGATCCCCTTCCTAACAGGAAGCAACAAATGCATAGGACCTTCAAACACACATTAATTTACAGCCTGAACCCTTGCCTGGGTTTTAGACAGGTGTATAGTATAGATTAGGCCTGAAAAAAAAATCAAAAGCATTATCAATACAGGTCTTGAAAACACTTCATTTGGGAAATTTCACATGAAAATGTTGATACAGTCTAAATACAGAATTAGATTTATTGCTGCTGGTTATACAGAAGTTAACAAAGTTCTTGGATTCTGAAAAACAGCTACTGTGAGAGTTACACAGGTATATAAAAACTAATTTCAGAAGAACTTCTCTAATGGCCTTCTCACCTGCTTATCTATATTGCACGAAAAAACAAGGCCAGGATTAAACCAGTAAGTAAACAGAGCCGGCATTACTTGTGCTAGAAAAATGGTCAGAAATGGTATTCAGTAACAGCTTTCAAGTTCAATACAAAAAGTACAGACCAAATTTAAAACTCCCGCTTTTATAAGCTCCTTTTATCTATCAGGATTGAAAATTGTTCTGTGAACCCTATGCTAAGCACATCAGCTCCTCTGAAATCAGCATGAGGTCTCATATGGGACCAGCCCCTACAGCGCCACTGCCAAGGCTCTGGCAGATTTGAGAGTCAGGGAGTGCCCAAGGAGATACTGATGAGAAGCCTTTCATGTTTCCTCCATTTGAAGTCTCCTGCATTTCCCCCAGCTCTTGAGGAGATGCAGCAGAAGGTTGCTCAGCGGGCACTGCTGGGGACCATGCTGATCCCAGAGAGCGAGACAGGAACCTTGGGGCTGCTCTAGCTTCACCTCATGGCAAGGAGAGTACAGGACAGAGCAGAACCAAGCTCACAGCTCCTGTTTGCCCAGGCAGGGCGAGGTGGTCAGTGCTAATGTTGTGCCAAGACCAGATGGGCACATAGGCACAAAGGGTCACACACGTTCAGCAGCCTGAATGAAGATCTAATATAGCAGTCTTGTTTAAGACAATTCAAGTCAAGACTGATGCTTGCCGTTGTTCATTCTCAGCATGCTTTAATAGAAGAATGAGGAAAAAAACCAGCAGTGCTCTAAGAAAAAGATATGTAGTGCCTTTATTGAATTAAAAAAATGGACCTTTCTTCAAAGTGCCTTTACATAACACACATGAAAACTTCAGTATCATTTGTATAAATATATCAAAAGGAACAAATACTTTTTAAAAAAACAGTATTTTGGCTCAGTAAAACAGCTTTTCTATCCCTAAAAGTAGGGATAACAAATAACAGTTTTTCATTCACCCCACAGAAACGGTGGATTCCCCAACATTGGACACTTTTAAGATTCAGCTGGTCAGGGTGCTGGGCCATCTTGTGCTTTTGCCAAGAAAGATTGGACAAGATGATCCTTTAGGTCCCTTTCAACTTGGTATTCTATGATTCAATCTATTCCAGCCAGTAAAAATAATTCAGGAGGCCCGAGGTCACTGGAACTCTGTTGGCTGGCCTGCATACTGCAAGCTATTAAGGTGGAAGTGCAAAGTCAGTATTATACTCTAGTCCTCAGAGTACAAATATCATACTTCCAGTGTCTAGTCTTCACATTTGATACAGGGATCTTCTTACAGAAGAGATCTGTGACCAAACTATACAGTTTCTGTCCTACTAAATTCTTCTACTGATCTGAACCGTAACAATTCGCCTTGCTCAGTTGGATCTCAGTAACTTCAGATGGATCTCAAGGCTCTTTTACCCTACAACAAACACCCTGTCACTGAACACACAGCACATTTAAAAGCAGACTGTGTGCAACAGCTATGTGAATGTGGCACTTCATGACCAGAACTGATCCTCCCTTGACATTTGTCTTGACTGAAACACAGAATGAGAACAGAACACAAGCGTGTGCATTGGTCTATACATACATGACATTCATCAATAAAACACTTCAGTATCATGACAGTTTGAAACAGTCTGATGTTTCAAATGCACTTTTTTTCCCTCTTATCCTGAAACGATATGATTCTTATTCCATTCTGGCCAAACACGCACTCAACTCGAAAATCTCAGAAGGCACTATCTCTCAGAAGCAGAGTTTCCAGTTTCCAGCACACACCGAGGTAACTAAAGCACTTCAGGTGGGAAAGGAACCTATTTCCACTTATTTTGTCACTTATCAGGCAGAACACGAGGGTCACACCATCCCATGTTCACTCAGCAGTTCTTCCATAGGATGGCACTTCACACTGTCAGTTCTGTTTGGTTGAGGATGGAGGCATAAGAAGATAAATGCTTGAGCCATGGAAGAAGAAAGAGCCAACATTGTAGTGTCAAAATGAGTAGACAAATTCTGACGGATGCAGCACGCAAGTTTCTTCAGATGAACAGGTAAAGATATCAAAGGACCAACTCAAAGGGAAAATTTCTGCTAATATTGTATTAGAAACAGCATTCAAGGACAGCTCGAAAAGTGATGGAGTTTGACAACAGTTAACTTGCTTGTTCCAAGATAAGGGAGCTGCATGGGAAAAGACACGATGGAGTCTGAACAGGAGAAGAGCAAAAGGTGCTGCAAAGGACTGCTGCTGATAGGACACACAAGAATTCAAGAGTTGCAAGTAGCAGTTAGAGGCAGTAACAGTCAAATCCTGAAGCTTCCATAAAAAAATAGATCTCATAACATAAAAATGTAAATATCAAGGACAGACTCAAAAGCAAAGGCAATTTGGCTGTCACATCTCCTGCTCCTATAAAATTCATATGTATAAACATGGCATTAAACAGATATGATAATTCTGAAAAAAATCAATCAAATCAATTCCCTCTCCTGAAAAAAAGAATTGATCATTACAAACTACATCACTCTGCCTGCACACAAGTCAGACATAACTTCAGAGTTAACAATTGTGGCATATATAATATTGTAAAAAAAAAAAAAATAAAAATTAACAACTTCCTTTCCCAAACAGCAGTTTGGGAGCTGTGACTCCAGCCTCAATTCTTCGAGCCTCAGCCAAATTAGGTACACAGTCACCTCAGATTCCCTACATCATCAGGACAGAGAGAAAGAGGGAAAGGAGAAAAGCAAGCAGCTGTAGGAGGTAACACAGAGCATCTCATTTTAAGGAGTACTGGGCAACAACGCTATTTTAACTCTATTTTCTAAACACATCTGGAACCAAAAAGTATGGTCCCACCACTCCTTTTCTTCTCCTATTGTGCTCTGAACCCTCCAGGAACCAGATAAACTCACTAATCCAGCAGAAAACTATCTCAAAGAAAAGAACAATTTCTGCCACATCAGTCTGTTCAGCCAGCTTCGCCTTTCAGAGCTGACAAATACCAGAGCCAGCACCCTGGTTGGGAACAGGAGGGAAGACTTGCTCTCTTTCAGCAACAGTGACCCATGAGAAGTGGATGCCCTGTAGCCCTTTGATCTGGTCCTTAAGGCAGACGAAGCCAACCATCCTATACTCCCCATGAGAGAGTCTGTCACTAGTTAATTGTTCCACTTGGGTAAAATAAGAACAAATATATTAAGCCACTTGACTAAACAAAAAAAAAATCCTCTGCAGATTAATTTTTTGACTCAGTACAGCATTACAATAGTGTTTTTACAATGTCTTCATGGGATAAGTGAATAAAACGGTACAGTTCTTTAAATGTAAAAAAGACCAGGGAAGAGCATTCATGCTTTGTCAGGTTCAATAGCACTTTTGAGGTGCTGGGATTGTCTCTTACCTTTTCTCTTGGATGGCAACACACTGATGCAGCAACACAGAGGGATTTACCATTCAGCAAACTGAACAAGGCAACCAATGAACTTGTAACAAAGAGAAGTTTCGTGTCATTTCATTTAAAAAATTGAAACAAAAACATTTACTGGCATCAACCATTCCCACTACATAATATCACAATTGTAATTAATATAGTTCACTTCATATTCAACCTTTAATTGCAAAAAAAAAAAGTTTTCTGTGTTTTTCCTCTTCCATTTTTAATACCAAAAGAATTCCACTGAATCACAGTGCAATTCTTGGAAAGGGTCTCTCAAGTACTTCCTGTGTGGTTCCCATGTCATCACTGTGCTGCTGATGACATTTCAAGCTGTTCTGTTGATCTGGCCAGAAGAAAAACCGATTCACATCTGTAGATGAAGTGGTAGTACCTTCAATCCAGAAAATTTGGATAAGATTGTCTGCACAAAACAGATACACGTGACCTTCAATCAACCCATCACCAACTATGAGAACTGACTTTGTCATTCAGTGCTACTTTTCTTTTGTTATTTAGGGAGAATTGCAGCCTTTCGGTAACAAACGAAATTGTGATGAAGATCCATTTTTTCTGGATGGCATGTGGTAGCGTACTTTCTTCCAGAATCTGGTACTTGCTGAGTAAGACCTCTCTGAGAAGTCCCCTTTCCATCGGATAACCCCATGCTTTTGCTTAACATATTTGATGGATTCTGGCATGGTTGCATAATCTTGTATTTTTTCAAGTTCAATGAGAATTACTTTAATGCCGTCTTGGATAAGAGCATTATACATGGCTAGCTGCTTTTCAGACACATCTTCTAGAATACTGTAACAGGAGGGTTCTGGTACTAACACAATTATCACTCTTCTACTTTGACGGATTTTTTCATCAGCAACGCTGATCACAGCTGTAGAGAAAAAGGTTGTGCAAAATTAAGGTTGTACATTTCTATTTTTTGGCACCAACATGTTGCAGCTGGTTCATTCACTGTTTCATATCTGAGTCAACACACTTTACCTCATGAACAGGGACAGGATAAGAGCACAAGAGCAGCTACATTAGGTTAGCCAACAAGTAGAGATTTGGCCAATGCAACACAATCTGACTTCATCAGCCTGCATGTCTATATTCTTGTTTTGCATAAACAGAGAAAAATTACCAACTATCTACTACCTATCTCACTAATGCCATTTTATCACTATCATAGGTGCAATTGGAAAAAAAACCCAAACAAGTTCCAAAACCATAGGCCTGGATAAAACTATGACCTTTTTCCTTAAATGGCTTGTTCTGATATGCTTAACTGTTTTTTGTTACATATAAGTGGAAGAGAAAGCAAAGAACGCTCCTTTCAATGGTATTTCAAACAATTAATTCTAAAACAGCAAAATATATTAAATACCACGCAAAAACCATACGGGCTAAGCCTGAGAGGAGACTATTTCATTTTTTCAAGCTGGAAAAATAAAGCAGCACTTTAGATTCTACTTTTCAGGGAACACTTCCCTCTCAAACCACTACCAAAAGCCTTCGGATTTAAAAAAGTGATCCACAATTCACCTCATGTAGGTTCATTCACATCCAATTCTTTTTAATAAAAACTTCTATTTAAGGCCTACTCTGCAAATGTATTCTGTCTCAGTATTACCTTTTTAAAGTCATAAGACTAGCAAGGATTCAGAAGCCTTTCACTGTTTCACCTCACTTAAGCAACCAGTGGGAAAGACTTCGCAATATTCAGTGTCAAATACTAGAAATTTAGATTTGGTGCGCATATGCATGCAGAGGAAACCTCCACAAGGATTTTAAAGCCTTGCAAAGAAGGCGATGCTTCGTAAGAACTTTCTCTAGGGACAAGTAGTCTTTGATACAGCTGATTGTTCCCGATAACTTAGTGTTGCTCTGTATTTTTTTTCCCCCACTTGCACTGTCTAAGCATTCATTATATCCCTTAGTGCATCCTGCTGGTTTGACAGCAATTCTCAGAGCAACTAAAAATGAAAGAGTAGAGAGATCATCCTGTCAAATGGCACCTCAAAGCAACAGAGTCTTTTCACACCACACACAAGACCTACTTTTCCATGTTTCCTGCCATTAGTCATAATTTACAAGCACAATTGCAACTCCTCTTCCCCTCATCACCCTTCTGTGTCCAGATGTCCTGGCAGCCAGACATTGAAAAAAACCGGAAGAGCTAAATAACAACAACGGAAAAGCTGAGGTAAACAGACTTCATCGGAGCACCCAGTGCTGTATTTCTCATTCTCCATCAGAGAGAATAAGAAAATTACAGCTCGTTTGATGGTGGGAGATATTTAGAACCATATCTAATTGATTGGCTGTTTCTATCTTATATTTGCAGCTGCCAATTGGAAAACTCGAGTGTAATTTGTCTTCAGATAGCTTACCTTCTCCTGGTAAATCATCTCTCCCAAATATGAAGAGGTTATATCCACACTGTCTTTCTAAGACCTCTGGCAATATCTTCAGGGCAAAAATATCTGATGAATATAAGCAGCTCTCTCTGTTCTTTGGATACAGAACATAAGCATCATAGATCTTCCCATCTGAAACTGAAGAGAGAGCAATAGGAGCAATATAAAAATGGATTCTAAAGACACAAAAGCAAGCAAGCAAACAAACAAACAAACCTCTACATTCTGTTTTTTTCCCCACTTAAATAATTGTTTCACGTCCTAATCTTGCTATTATCTAAGCATGCATAATTATACTAAGCCTGAAATATTTGTAGAATCAGGCCTTCTAGAATTCAGTATGCTGGATCTGAATAGATAAAAGAGACCTGCAAAATTAAGTAGGTTTGAATATTCTTTTCTGAACTCTAAATAAAAAAACATTATCACTGAATTATCTGGAAAATGGCAATTCCAGTAGTACAACTGAATACTCAAAATTCCAGCTACCATATAACTCATGGGTCATTTTTGTAATCTGGAGTTTCAAAATACAGCAATCATTTAGACACGAAAACAAAACCAAAGTATCTGGCAAATTTCAAGGTCTGAATTATATTAGACATTTTGAAACAAACTTTTAGGAAAGACAAAATCTAAAAGACTTCAGAGAAATCTAACAGAACCTCAACACCTCTAGAAAATATTTCCTGTTTCTCTAGCCATGTACCTCCTCTCAAGATGTTTGGAAATGACCCATACTTTAGCATAGTCTCATAGACAGCACCCCTATAACATTTTTCTGAATGGCAGGAATTTACAGAAAGTAAAATAATGTGAAGTGCCTTCAAACAGAAAACAAAATAAAGTGAAATTTCTCCTTGTACATCTACGGAAAATAAAAACCAACAAACTATTCCACTATGTTACTGCTTTCTGTAAGAAGAGGAACTAAAAGAAATCTGAAGAACTGCTGCCAGAACAGCATTCAAACACTGGTCTTCAGGGAAAAGAATGATAGTACTAGATTCCTGGACAGTTGCTGATTTTTCCCCTGTAGACGTTTTTGTTATCTGAACTAATTCTAAACATCCTAAAAACATGTTATCCTTTCAAAAATCCCAAGGAAGACCAATCACAAGCCATGAGGTTAACTCATTGCTTTGCAAAGGAAGGTGAAGGCTCATTGTAACGCACAGCATCATTGTTACACAAACGTACCTTTTTTACCCAGGAAAGGATGGCAGGAGTCCCGATACCAAAGCACAATATCAATTTTGAAGATTTTGTAGATAAAGAGAGTAAAAAATATTAAAAATACCAAAGAAACTCCTCCTCCAATTAAATAACCCTGAATGCTCTGAGCTGCAGTAGAGTGGAATAAGAAGAGAGAAAACAAACAAAACAGTTACACACTAAAACTAGAGAAAGACAAAAGGGATGTTCAAAATTGTTTAATCATTAAAATGCACTTTTTTAAAAAAATAAAAGGAATGAATTAATAGGACTGGAAGTTTTTCAAATATACTTTCTGCAAATACTGTTATGTGACAAGCCTACTTTTATCTTTCAGAGAAAAGATACCTTAGTAACGTGACAAAAGAAGCTACTCTTCAGCTGAAACACCAAAACATTGACGTATATCTCAGTGCAGCAGTAGAGTGAGAATTCTTTTACCAAATTTTATCAGTCAGAAAGCAAGAAAGTCAAGATGGGGAGGTGATTTCCTGACCATGCTGTTCTCCACAGACCAGGTAGCTTTCTATTGTCTCTAGCCTATTCAGAAATTTGTCATGAACCTACTAATTTGTTGCCCTTAATAGATTTGTTGTCCTTAATAGATTTGTTGTCCTTAAGACAAACACACACCCTCCATAAACTGCATTTTTCAGTTCATGTGTATTAAAGGATTTCTGAGGTTAAATCTCTACGAAGAACTTGTAGTTATGTAACAAGTTAGAACTCAGATTCACTCTCAGTCAATTATTTGTTTCCAATGTAGCCAGTTAAAGGTAAGTTTGAGAATAACAATTTGACAAAGGATTGGCTCACAGTTAATAAAGCCAGCTCAATACAAGCTCAATAGACCAGAGGCTCTTCTGCAGCTAAATTAAAAAAAAAAAAAAGGGCACTCATACTATCTGGTGATTTGCTTTTCTGTGTATCTGTTTTTAAATAAAAAGAATTGATTTCTTCAGCTTTGCATTTGAGTTTTTAAAGTTCACTTTAAGTTCATCTACTAAAAAGAAAATTTCATGCTAGCCAGCAGCAGGTCAAACTTATCTTTGTCTCTGAGTACAAGACTGAGGTGTCCAACAAGTGGCGGGATGCTCCCAATCAACATGCATGAGCCTATCTAGAAGGTAATAACACAGCACATGCATCACTAATGGGAAGTCCATAATCTTTCCAAGCAACCTATTTTATTCCTTTACTATCATCACTGTTGGAGCTTCTCCTGCTATATAAATAGGTTTGGGGTTTTTTTAGTTTCTCTTGGCAATCTGAGCCCATTATTTGTTACTAAAGGATAGGACAACCAGGTCCACATATACATTTATGTCCTTTTGACAGTCTGTTCCACACTTAGTTATATATTCCCCCCAGCTCTTTTAGAGAATCAGCCATTTTCACTGCTATTCTAGACACATGATCTCCTCTGATCCACATGCTTCTTTAAGTACAAGTGTGTAAAATGAAGCACGGTATTCCACTGAGGTCTCATATTTGCTTCAAATAAACTGGAGTCTTTCATTTCCTAAAACACTGAATGAGAGAAGACAAAGCAAATTAAAAGTGCTGTTGTCTTTAATTTTGCTAAGAATAGGATAAAAAATTCACAAAGAAAGATATTGAGCTCCATTGCCCACTTTGCACAACAGCATATCATGCAGTTTTAGCTCTAAGTTGTTGTCAAACTAACTGAGAAGTAAGCATTATTCATCGATATTTTATCACCATGAGATCTCTTACCTGGGCGTTCCAATTTGATGTAGGCTGCAAATTGCTGAGAACCATATATGAAGTGACAGAAAAATTTATGAGCATAATCCTTTACTTTCACGTTCGAAATGTTAAATTTTGTTCCAGATACAGCAAGTCCATGAGGCATGCCCTCTCTGTCATTAAAAAAGGGTAAAAAGGAAATATCTGTAGACAAACTGAAATAGTGCTTAATATAAGATAGATTCATCTGTCCACAAATACAAGAACATTTTTTTTTTTTACCTCTAAGAAGCCAGTGAAGCACAATAAATATCACCCCTGTAACAAACAGTTTCATGACCACAGGTGACTTGGCATTTTCCATACACATTGGATTGCTGTTTTTTTTTGTTGTGTTTTTTTTTTTTTTTTTTCTGGGTGGGACGGAGTGCACCATTAGCAGTTTTGCAGATGACACAAAACTCAAAAGTGACAGCTGACACTTCAGAGGGTCATGATGCTATCCAGAGGAACCTTGAGAGAAATGGGCTGACAGGAACCTCATCAAGTTTAAAGCAAAACGCAAATCCTTCACCTGAGGAGGAACAATCAGTCCCCAGGCATCCTGGACCACATTAAGAAGAGCATTGCCGGCAGGTTGTCTTGAGTTGTGAAGTCTCCACTTGTGGATATATTCAAAATCCAGTTGGACACAGCCCTGAACAACCTGCTCTATCTGACCCTGCCTGAGCAAGGGGGTTGGACTAGACGATCCCAAGAGGTCCCTTCTAACCTAAATGATTCTGTGAATGAAAGACTGTTCAAACTAGTAATAACCAGTAATAAAAGTGTCAAGACAAAAATCATCTTCCAAGACTCTTCATACTGATGATGAAGGAGAGACCTTTCTAAGCAGACTAACAGACACCCCAAGCTCACATTGTCCACAGTCAACGGCGTCAACCAGCTTGGGAAATAATGATGAACAAAATTCACAAAAGCTGGGTGATCCTGGTGTCAAATGACAACAGACACGGTGATACTCCTTTTATGTCTGACAACTATTGCCATAAGAAGCTTGGAGATAAATACTCTATCCTGCTAAATACCATCCTGCTCTAAGATAGATTTACAAGTGTAAGGTGGGAGGGCTTGCAGCAGGAAGGTACCTACAAGCTGGCATCCTGCTCTATACACCAAAGTGATGTCACCTTATGTATTGAAGGAGGAAAACTCATTTTGCAGAACATCCTGAAGAACCAGTTTCTGTTACATAAATAATTGCCAGCAATTTCTGTCATGGGATGCCAACATAAACTTCAACATTTTGCAACATGTTCGGATTTGTTCAAGTCAGTTTTAACTTTCCTCCCAACAGAGGAGTTACCTCCTAGGTGTCAGCCTCAAGTCCATAATGTTGGTCGTGTCTGCAGTGCAGTATCCTACTAGCAAATGCTCCACAAATTTAATTGCTGAGAAATTGCTACTATTTTTTGAAATAAAACATTATTATTACAATTAGATTTATTTCTCTAATGCAGATAACTTGCTTTGAACTATTAATCCTAACTAGAGCTTGCACAGGATGTATCTTGCACATCTTCATCTCTGGCATGGGAAAATTATCAGGCACGGTAGATCACTTCCTAGCAAGCCAAAAATCTTAACAGTGAATTGCTCTGAGTTAAATATATTAAACGCTTTTCAGGAAGACACATTCAATAGCATTGAAGCTGGTTTCAGAAGAAGCTACAGTAATAACTTTAAACACAGCTACACAGAACTGAGCATGTGTTTGAACTGGTGAAGCTGATAAACTTCATGCCGTAGAGAGTAACGGACCTACTTGTGCCTCAGAGACCACAAGCTAGGGCTCTAATATTTACAGGCAAACCACCAAGGATACAGATCTGTAATGAAAGTAACAATTCCCACTAAAGGAACTTGGAGACAAAGTAGAACTAAGATTCCTTCTGGAGGCCAGAGAGAGATGAATGAAAACTATCATTTTAAAAGCAGTCTGCAACCTAACTCTCTAGCCATGTTTTGCACTGATGATGGCACTCAGTGGAGATGGCAACGCTTCTGCATGAGTGTGAACTGATCAGCTGAGAATTGCTTTTTTTTCTTTCTTCTTTGCGCTACATTTTAAGGGTTTTATTTAACAGCAATGACTGATACAATGAAAAAGCAAACAGTACATCCACACCCTGCTACAGCACAGACCAGGCACTGAGTAACAAAGGCCCTGCTCTCTCAAAGGGATTGCTGGTTTTATCAGCTTAATTTATGTTTAATTTTCATGAGCATAAAAAAAATAAATCTAAATGTCCTGCAACAAGAGCTTCTGCTTTGTGTTCTTGAGGATTAGCAGCTCTGTCTTTAGGACAGGAACAACTTCAGTTGTTCCTTTAGGAAAAGGAACAACTTCACAAATAAAAATAAGTCGGGTGATTTTTTTGGTTTGGAACAATCTCTCTCATATTAATGACAGAGGGCAAGCTTTAATCTATTAGCAAAAAGGATTGCATAAGAACAAATGCATAAATAAGCCTTACAAAATTATATGTTTCACAAAAGTATTATAAAGATTATAAATGATTGCTTCATTACATTTGTATCAGATACATCAGCATTTATAACAAAATGTTTATTTTTTTTACAACCAAGGAATAAGAACACAATGTACTTGATGCAGACTTCTAATCAGTCTTTCAATGACTACTGATATTTGATGACTAGTCAACTTCATGGTGAATTCACTGCAAATTACTGCAGATGACTTCACCTAAGAACGCACTTTCAATTCAATGTATAAGGATACTTACTCATAAAACTGTTCCCTGTAGGTACTATCAAAGCTATCAACGTCCTCATCATTAACTTGCCAGAACGGAATCAAGCCATTTATGCCACTTGATACGTTACATTCCATAATCACATGAGAGCCTACAAAAAATTAAATTTGGCAGTTGAAGACTTTGTAACAGAAGTAGGATCAAGTGATTGAGGAACAGCTGGGAAAAGGAGGGATATCAAAAAATCCCACTTACCTTATGAAAAGCAGAGTCCTTAAAATTCATCCATTTGTAATCCACACTTGGGTGTCTCTGACCTGGATATAAATTCCACCCTAAATGTAGGTGTCTAAGCGTTCATGTCTACATGTAAGCTAGATGTCTAAGCTAGCAACGGATTTCAGCTCTGCTGAAGTCCACTCACATTCAAGTAGACACCTAGACCTTATCAATTGAACGGCTCTCCAGACTCCACTGAAAGATCTGGGGCTCCAATCAGTTGCATGTACACAATATGGTGACATCTGAGATGCTCTCCAGAATCCAAATGCATCCGTATGGGGCTGGCAGATAAGACTCCAGATCTTCAAGAAATCTGCACTGCTAGAGCAGCCAGACCACCCAAAATAGCACTAGAATCTATGTGTAGGCAACTGAATTGAGCACCCATTGATAATAGCATGTATTAAAGACCCTAGCTCATATGCAGATACCCATGTGTAGACCCTGGAGTTGAATCCCATTCTTAGTGACCATGCATATCTTTACTCCAGATCAGAGTCTTTTGGCCAACACTGTCCACTGGGATGGTTTCTGAATACTCTCACACTCTGCAAGCTCACCTGTCACTCAGCTCTTTTGTCACCAAGAGTCCAGATCTTACAGAATGTCTCAGTATTAATAAAGCAAGCCAAGTTGCAGAATATATTCATTGCCAATGTACCTCAGAGAGCTCCATTTACAGGAAGGTAAACAGCTTTCTTGGGAGTCCTTTCCTTCTGTATTTTACCCATGGAAGTTATGATTTGATAGGAGAAGGTTGGCTCTGAGTTCATCTATGTAAAGATCTCAGTGTTTCATTTCCTAGAACCACACCAGATCTAGATGCTTCCACCAAGGCATAGTCTCTATCAAAAGTATGGAATAAACCTTTAGCTCACATGCAAAGCAGTTACTTGAACAAGAATTCACACAGAAATGACAGACGCTCCCCCATTTCTTCCCTCATGTCCATTCACCACAATAATTAATTTTTTCTGAAGATGTGGTTTAGTGCATTGCACAGCTCTTGGAAAGGAAGAAAAGCCCTCAAGTGTTCCATGCCCACCATTTCCATACATTCATGAACGCACTGTTAAGTTTCTACACAACCTTCTCCCGTCATTTCCCATTCAAAAAGCATACAGGTGTTTCCAGGTTTATTAAGGTGTTTCCAGGTTCTGCCCACAGCCAGACATTTAATAGGAGCAAAGATTTTTTTTTTCCCAGCATCCCATTAACAGGTATTGAACAGAGAATATTACCTTTGAATGGCACTGCCTTTTTTAAAAAAATAAAAAAAAAAAAAGAAAAAAAATTCACCAACTTCCTTTAAAGGGTCCCCCTGTAGTAGGGAGTCATTTGTAGTTGTTCGGTTGCCACAATAAACCCACTTTGTGGGTGGATGCTTTGTGTCTCCTTTTAGTCTCATGCATGATGGCTTTCCTAATGCCTGTAAGGCAATCAAGGTTTGTTCTTCTTAGCTGGTCTAAGGCATCCAGTAATATACCAGCGACTTTTAATTAATGCAGTGTCCAAGCCATAACAAACATGGACCAAACGCTATTCTAAAATAAGGAGTCTAAACAAGTTGTCCCAGAACACATCTTAATATAGGCTGAGAGTCACAGACAGCCCCTGGACTAGTAATTGCCCAATTCTCTGTTTCCTCAGCAAGTACTATTAAAGATCAAGAAAAACCTAAAGGAGGTCTTCCGTAAATTAAAGACCCTTTTAAGGGCCTGTGCAGATCAGACTCCTTCTGAGTAGAGGTTGCGTTGGTAAGAATTTTTCTGAATTAAATAGGAAGTCATAACGAATTACGAGTCAGAACTGAGGATGAGATTTACATGATATTTTAATGGCTGGGAGATGCAGTACAAGGAAGCCTTACTGTGATATTACTTCATTTCTTCCACAGTTATGATTACAAAGGAACAGAAATCTTTCACACAGAAAGATTAGGGTTGTGGGAGGTAAAAAAAAAATGACTGTGGAAAGTCTCCCTATTTCAATCTATGACCTGGTGAACAAATTTCCTTATTAGCGGAAGAGCACAAATAATGCTCTTCAGGCATATAATTGTAATGAAGCCAGAGAAGATGTAATTACCAGAAAAGAGGCTGCTGAGTCATTTCAGAGTATTTCCAACACAATTAAATAACCATCTGAAGACTGCAGGACTGTAAGTCTCCAAAATAATAGTGCTTGTATCAGATCCTGAATATTCTCAAGTGTTTAAAACAAAACCTTCTGGACTTTGGAGGAAAATAATTTCTATTAAAGCTCATTCATTATTCTGGTCAAAATCTACTGATCCTCACCAGAACCTGACAACTTCAGAATGAGATTATCTTTCACAAGCTGTTGAGGTCAAAACCAAAAACCCCATAACAACTGCAAGAAAAAACAACCCCAAACAAACAAAACCTCAAAACCCACCAGTATTTCAGTGCTGTTCACTTCAGTTTAATACCATATACTCAAAGTTAGAATTTGGGTCAGACAAAATGTTTCACAAGATGTGAAAAGAAGCATGAAGCCTCAACATGAGAAAAGAACGCCTGATACAAACAGTATTTACAAGCTTGATGTCAGAAAAAAAGAGCAGTCAAAGTAGCTGTGTTATGTAGGACTACCATCAGTGAGACATACAAAAGATTAATCTACAAATTTCGGGCCTCAGCTCCCACATAGTGCCAGAGGCCCAACACAACCTTTCCTCAGAGCTTCTCTAATGATCTGATTGGTAACAACTATTCCTCAAAAGACTACAAGACAGCTTAGATCCTGTACTAAGAAATTCTAGTAAACAGTCAATCACACTTCTCCAAAATCAGTTAACGCCCTTTTAAATCAAATGCTTTGTTTGAAACAGTTCTTGGTGCAAAACAAGAACAAGAATTACAGTTCAAGAAGCTCCAAATGTCATTCTTCTGGACTACATCCGTACAACACAACTCTGTCCAATATATGGTACAGCCTAAACATGTATAGGTTTGCTTAGGAAAAGACTTGCATACCATATACTTGACCCATAGAATCACAGAATAATTGAGGTTGGAAGAGACTTTGGGAGGTTTCTAGTTCAATTTCCTGCTCAAAGCAGGGCCTGCTCTGAGGTCAGACCAGGCTGCTCAGAGCTTTATCCAGCCAGGTTCCAAAAACTCCAAGGACAGAGACTGTACTACTTCTCTGGGCAGCCTGCTCCACTGCCTGGCTGTGCTCACTGGGAAGAAGTAATTCCTTATATCCAGAATCTCTTATTTAAGAAATTCTAAGATAAACAATACCTGAGATATCCATCAACTAGCAGCTCACTGCTTCACAAAAGATCAGTATCTGAAACTTTCGAATATCCTAGAACGAGGAATAAAATCCAGGTTGTGGAGCGGGAAGTGAGACAGGAAACATATAGGAGGGGCAAAAAAACTACTGAACTGGTCAACTGGAAACTATCCTAACATGTTACATATATGTAACCGTACTTCTACAGAAACTGAAGATACGTCAAGACATAGACACTGAGAAGTGGTACTAAGCGAAAAAAATAAACGAACACATCCCACCCGACATTGCTGGTCAAGAGACTCCAATCTTAGGCACACAGTTATTTCCCCTACAAATTACTTGCAGGAATCATGTTGTATCATCTGTCTTCCAGGTATCCTCAACCCACGTGCCTATCTCCCAGTCTTGCTGAAGTCACTGGAACTGTTCATGTGTTATTTCTGAAAGACCAGGAGCTTATTTGTTTTCCTGAATGTTAATGACTTCTTAAATAGTCACTACTCACCAAGTTCTACTTCTATTGTATTGTTCTTCGGATAAATAAACTCTGGTCTCACCTGCAGTGGTCGTTCTAACAGAACCAAAGAGAAAAACATTATCTTCAGGCAAGAAGAGTTCCACAACTTACTTCAACTGATAGTTTTACAATGGTTTTGTTTTATTGTTCAGTACTACTGTGGTGCCATACTTACTACCAGTCTCAAATTTACAATAGAAAATAATCTCCTAAGATTTGCTGTACTCTATCCAAACTACTATATTTTAGCTTCCAGGTTAACAAAAGGCCTTAGCTTACCTTAAAAATACTTTTATCTCAAATTTACTGGCAGTTGATATAAAAGTAATATAAAATCAGAAAACGAAAATGAAATAAAAAAAAGCAATTGACTTTGTCAGAGAGACAGATAAGGAAGAGAAAGAGGGATTGTATCAATGACCTCCTAGATCAGGAGAATATCTATTTAAATAAAAGTAAACAAGCACACACTTAAACTGAGCTGGAATTGTATCATTCTGCGTGATGCGTAGACTCACTGCTAACAACCCATTGTTCTTGTATCACCTACATAAAGCCAGAATTTTGATTTAATCTAAAAAGATGGACCCTCTCCTTCTAGCCAACTTTTCTGATAGGACTGCTATCATGGTACCAGCCAGGTCACCAGCAACACAATCACAATGATCACAGCAGTAAACAATAATACTGAATGAGAGAGACAGCCAGTTCCGAGCCCTGTGTGCAGAAAAGCACAACCAAGTGCCAACAGTAAGCCAATCCTTTCCAGAGAGAGATTTATTAACATTGTAGTATTTAATAGAGCTTGTCATATCTCATTTCCCATCAGTTGAGATTCTAGGAAACTTTGTAAGCAAGTTCACCAACAGGGCCACAAGCAGGTGTTTTGCTATGATGGTCTTGGCAAAATTTCCTCTTTTTAAAATTCAAGAAATTTAATGGTGCATTATTTGTTTCAGCAAAAACAAACTCTCCCACCCCAGTAACCACTGCTTCATCCTTATTCTCATTCCTATCCCCACATTTCTCATTTCCCTGTGACAATTATTTCTCAGAAGCAATGCTCAAGGGTAGCAACATTCATTATTATATTTTAATTTTACATTCAGGAAAAAACTAATTAAAGAAGATTTGCAACTCTGACTTCACAGAGCTGAAAAGCAACATGCCAAATACTTTATGCCTGCATACAAATATTTACAGCAGAGCCAAAAAGAGAAGAGAATAACTTCAATGCACTCACCTTTAACCTCCAGACTCATGGTTCGTGAAATATTATATTGTTTTCCCATAAATGTGTATACCATACGGCATGTGTAGTTTCCTCTGTCTTGTACAGTTACATTGCGAATCAAGACGGCGTTTTTGCCCTCTGCCAAAAGAAGTCGCTTATCTTCAAGAAATCCAGGCTTACACTCCTAAAGATAACAAAAGTAGCTGTGATTTAAGGGAACTAATAACCTCATAATTAAATAAGCTACTAAACTCCACTGATTATTAAAACACTTGCCAAATAATGATTTTTTTGAAAGCCACAATGTGAGTTCTTATCCAAGCATCTAGCATGAAAGCCTGATGACGTCTTCCTGCATTTGCACTTTTTAAAAATCACTTTTAAAAATCCTTTTAAGTTTTCAAACACTGTGTTTTAGTTCACCGCCTTCAGTTAATAGCTTGACAGCTATCTATCTCAGGTGTAATAAAAGTTATTACACATGTAGCAGAGTTTATGAGAACAAATGCCTGCAGTTCTTCTTCACTGAGATGAATGAGAGCTGCTGTAGCAGTGCCTGGTGCTGTTGGGTGTATTGCCTTTTCTGAGGCAATGCAAATACAGTGAAAAACTTCCTTCTCTTCCCTGACCTATGGGCAGTTTAGAATCACTTCATCTCAAAAGAAGATGTATAGGTGCAGCATCAAGGTTATTTTACACGTACAGGCCCAGGTAGCTACTTTAATACCAGCATCAGAATTAGGAGTTGAACTACTTCTGAATTTTACCTTAGTACGGACAAAATACATGTTTCTAAGCTTACAGAGTCTACAGAGTATTTTGGCAGGATCAGAGTAAGAGGCATAAGAATAGATGATCTTTAAGGTCCCTTCCAACCCTAACCATCCTATGATTCTATGATTAATACCACACCATGATAAACAGATACATTAAGCCTAATATTCTGTGAAACTGAAATAATTGTGCAGAGCCTTGTATTTAAGGAAACACACAAGTTTTTAAGCTTATTATCTATATAATCAAAGGATAAACTAGATTTTCACAAGTCAACAAGCCAAAACACATGTTCTTGACTCTGAAAAAACTTCCAATCAAAAAATGGACAATTGCTTTTTTTTTTAAATATGCCTCTCATACCTCTTTAAACCTTCCCAATAGTGCAGCAAGATCGACATCTTACTCAAACTGTAGAGAAAAGAAACTTTTACTTCCAAAAGCTACTTTTCACAGTTACTTTATAACACATTATAAATAGAATATTCCATATCTTGTGTATCTGAAATACACGTGCACAATACCTTATACCAGTGTATTTCAGGTTGATTATTATCTTCATCTTTAAAATGTTCTAGATCAGGGCATATAATCTTTCCAGTACTTGTGCTCATCAGTTTTTGTTCAAACTTCATTTTTCCGTTAAAACACAAACCGTCATCGTTCTTAAAAACTGTTAAATTTATAGTTTTTTTGTTTGAGTGGTTAAGGCTCCTGTAATTAGAACAGCAGACAAGTCAGGTCATTAACAATTAGGTTCCTTGTTTCCAGCAAGTCAGGGTATTTATTGAGAGGGACTTCAGCATCTCCACCAGCCTTGCCTCTAACACCCCTGCTACAGCCGAGTAGCTCTTAAACGCCACCCTCAACTCCTCACCCCTTGTTTCAGACCAAGAGATGGGACGAAGCTCTGACTTTGCGTTGTGAGCAGAAGCAGAAGTCTGCTCTGGAAGCACCAGAAGGGATGCCAGGACTTCTGCGGAGCCCACAGCACCAACGCAGCCTTGCCGTTTTCAGCACTACATTTGCCAACACGCAGTAGTGCAGGGTAACCCAAAACACATCTGCGCTGGAACACCCTCAGTGCCCAATGAACAGGAGAAGAAAGGTTCATCTCAGCATTCCTTGGAGGGACATATCAAGAAAAACAGGCTGTAACTCTTTGCAGAAGAGAGAGAGAGCTTTTGAATAACATATATGTCAAGGCGCAATATCAATGTGAAACCACTTCACACCAAGAGCTCACAAGAACCTGTGGTACAGCAGCTCTGCAGAGGAGCGGTGGCACCAGAAACCAGAAGTAAAGGAACGCTCTATTAATTCATTGCTCAACTCTCCATTTTTCTATGTTATGCTAAGGGAGTCGTTTCCTGAAGAGTGACAGTCCTGGCTTCAACTTCTATGTACTGCACCTTGACAAGCACTGTAATTAAGGTTTAAGTGACTGATGCACAAAATGCAGCCTACAGTTAACACAACTGGATGTCAGCAAGTCTTTTGTCCTGCTGACATTATGTAAGCCAGGGATGTTGAGTGCCCAAGAAAACATATCTCATAGCTAGGGTAACTAGAAACATAGCAGGAAAGACTAAACTAAAATTATTTCACTGGGTAGCTTTGAAACAATTACATTTCTTCTGACTTCCAATTTTAGCTTTATTATTGACTCTGGAGCAGGAAGGTGCAAAGGCCTGTGACCTGTGCCTACGCTGGTCACGGTTACTACACTCGCAACCCAAACCCCTTCAGCACAACTGATGCACTGGATGCACACCAGTACACATACGACACACTACTCAAACAAATTTTGGGTCACCTGTAAAGCCTGCATTAGCCGTTCTCAGTGTGCTGTAGCAAGACCATGAGGAAAAGAAAAATATATGTGTGCCTTCCCAATTATTTTCCTGTTCAGTACACAGTGAATTTCAGCCATTATAAATAAGATTTGACCACCTGAAGTGGTGAAGTCCAGGGCACTAATCTGAGCTATAAATATGGCAAGAGCTTTAAAGTACCAAAGAAGTGAAAAGAATCTAGTTCTTTTTTCTTCTTCTCTGTGCACGCAGATCTTTTGAGCAGTACTGGGGACGCACTACTTTCACTGTCTCTAAAGCTGTCTAGCACATTGCTTCGCTCTTCACCCATGTTCTCATTTTTGACCAGTAACATCTGGTAATGTTTTAAAATAAAACATAAGAATGGTTTCCTGCCTTTTAGTTTGTAAATTTATAAAAGGATTCTCAAAAAGTTGCTAAGCTCTCTAGAAAGTCTGTATGTGGTGATACTGCATAACATGCAGTGTTTGCTCCTCTTAGATCCTTCTTCCATTTAACCATATCCAATGAAGAAATCAAAATATTCTTCTGATGTGTCAGTATCAAACAGCAATTTGAACACAGGAAATGCTGAAACAGTTAAGACTTTTCCCTGTGATCTTACACTTCATCCAAAACAAACAAGCAACCCACACAGACCATTGTAAGTATTATCATGCTTTAAGAGTCTTCTGTATAAATCACTTTTGCAATGCTACGTGTGTGGAAGAAAGGGAAAAAAAGGCAACATACAGAAAGAAAAACACAGTCAAAACAGTGCTTTTAACTGACCTAAGCTCTCTATGTAAAACAAAAAATTCTATATGCTCAAGTTCCACAAATATATTATCACACTCGTAAGCATTAGCAACCCAGTTGTTTCCCTCCTCCCTTCCTTACCTCACATCACATTCATAAAGTCCAGAATCTTCCAGTGTTGCAGGAATAAACCAAAGCAAGCCCTCTCGCTGATGGATCCTGGCATGTCTCTCTGTGGTTACTGGTGTAGCACTACCATTTTTATACCAGGTCAGATTGTAACCAGAGTGAATCTCGGGCAATGTAACTATTGGGCAACTAATAGCTGTAGGCTCTCCAAAAAGCACAAAGTAATCACAAATAATGCATTTTTCTATTAAAAAAAAAAAAAAAAGAAAAAACATCAGTGCTTTTAATCTGTATACTTTTATGTTTTATAAGTATTAATATCCATCCCAAGTTACAAAGAATTAGAAAATAAACCTTCTGTAACAATTAACCATTAAAACATCACAAGGCTACCATTTTTGTTTGTTTAGCACCTTCTTTGTCAATCTAAACCATACACTTTACAAAGCTTAAGCCATAACTTCCCTCTATTAAGGTAGCCAGCAACAAGTGCATGCAAGTCCAATAGCCTCAGTGCAAACCACGGTATAAGAAGATACTTGGGATTCACCAGGCAACACAAGTTTCACAACTCACCCATCCTGTCCTTCTTATCTGAGCATTTTAGTACTTTTGCAGAATTACCAGATTCTTAACGTAGGTATTATCTACAAAAAGCATGGTGCAAACAGTAGCAGTGCAGAGCTCCTTACAGTACTTTGGACATTATGGCCAGTAAATTAGGGGGGAAAAAAAAGAAAAAAAAAAAAAGATATTTTTTTTGACCTGAAGCACAAGATGGCATGGAATGAGATCAAGGCCTCAGCACAAAGAAGTCTGCGAACCAACATGTCATAACACAAAGAAAATTAGAGAGGCGCAGTATTTAGATTAAGAAGTCTTGGCTATTTACCACATTTGCAACTTCTGTCATCTTTCTCCACAAGGCCCTCTAAGTTATGAACATGATTCTGAACATCACATAAAAAGCGAGCATAAACAGAATTTTTATAATTATGGCTGCGTAACAAGTTGACAAGACACAATCATGCAGCCTAGCAAGCAGTTTTTTAAACATTAGCCAAGAAAATACCAGAGAAAGTAGGACAGATACTTCAAGCAGTCATCAAAAAAAGAAATGTGCAAGCAAAAGCTACTTGGAGAATACCAGTTTAGCACAAACAGAGCTGGCTATTTGGCTATGAAGCAGACTTTTAAAGCTTCTAAACTTTTGCATACACATGCAACACTGAATTCCTATGAAACTGGAAAATGTCTAATCGAACTGATTTTACAAATCTTGCTGAATGACTGTATAAATATCAAGCTAATGGATTCCATTTCAAAGTAAAGAAAGTCTTCAGTAATCTTTCCAGTCACACCACCTTCCTACCACTTAATTTAAAGATTTCCAAGTAGGTCTCTGTGCAGCTTAAACTAATTCAGAGACATTAATATTAGACTGCTTATGCCAAGAGCAGCAAGACAAGCACTGTTAATTTATGTAGTCCTAAGCTTTACTGAAAAATTAGATCTACTATTAAAAACATTACTAATTAATTGTAAAGGAAACTGAGCCCTACTGCTTTCAGGACTAGAGCTGCAGCACGTCTCAAAGTTAGCTGTTGAATGCCTTCTTTAAGTCAAGGAAGCCAATCTCTTTGGAGGAATCAGGAAGAGACTAATCGAAGCCTCAGTATCCTAAATTTATGTGGCTAGATTTAAAAAATTTTATGTCAATTTGTCCATTCCATCCCCAGTGCAACTTCAATCCAAGAAGAGGCATTCAGCATATCTTAAATATGCTGAAGTAAAAACAACCCCCAAATCTACTATTTGCTCTCAGTAAGTGTTTTCTACAGTTGGATTACACACAACTTGTCTCTTGCAGGTTTTCTTTTGTAAAATGGTAATTTCAACAATGGATTTAACTTACCAGCACTGAAGAGAGGTAGAATCAGTAGAATGAGACAACTAATAAGCAAAAACATAGATGTCATGTTTAGCTGCAAAGAAAAAATTTTTTTCCATTAGTGTGGTAAGAGTGTTCAAGCCGCACTGTCCTCTGCACCCTGCACTACTCCTTAAAAAAAAAAAAATCAGCAGAAGCATTAGTCATCTTGGGGAGGGAAAAAACAGGCTTGGTAATTTAGCCCCAGCCTTTGAAGATTTCAACTACAGTAACTGTTGGCCTCCACAGAGGGCTGCTTAGTTTTCGGCTATCTACTGGAATTTTTCCAAACTTCTGCTGGAATAACTCTTGCATAAAGTGTAACTTTCTTTCACCAGCATAGTTAAGCAAAAAAATAAAAAAAAAGCCCAACCCTCTAGCACAGATAAGTTATGCTAGCATACAGTGATTTAAACCATGTTGTATAATTTAGAAACCAAGCTTGATTAAGCTACTCCTCTTTCCACATGTTTACAAGAGACACAATCACGGAGTCATAGGAGGTTTCGTTCTTTGAACTGTTCTTGTACAGTTGAGGCCACGCTGCTTTTAAGAGCAGGTGAACTTGTAGCTCTTTGCAGGACGACAAGCTCACCATAACTCCAGTGTGATGTGGCACTTAAACTGACATCTGAAGTCAAATGTGCAAAAACCGCTGCTACTATGAATTGCTGTGGTCAGACACCAAACAAAGTGGTCAAGAATTGTAGTTTCACTTCACATCTCAGGTATTCTTTGCAGCTTTCTCCAACAAAGACTTGACTGAACAGATACCCACTGCCCTCATGGCCCGCAAATGGCTTCCAAGAAACCTCTAAATCTTAACCAAGTCCTGCTCCCCTCTCAGATGCACCTGCTTTTTCTTGGCAAGATGTCATCAGAGCCCTTCCCAAGACTCCTACTGTTGGTCAACAGGCAAATGCTTAACCTCTTCCCTTCTGACAGCTGCCTGTAGGTTAAGGTCTGCATTTAGCTATCTTGCCTTTCCTCATTTTTTGACCCTTTTGCATGCTGCTCCTTCTCACTCTAAAGCAATCTGGTTTCCCACGTAGCAGTCCACTGCGAAACACAGGTCCTAGTTCATACATGCCTTCTACCCAACTAGAAATGGCTGGAAGAAGGGATGGTATTCCCTGGAAAACACACACGGCATTGACTTACTTTTATATCCAATGTAGTTCACTTTAGTGACAAATAAGCCACACCAGCTCCTTCTTTTGAAACATTTCAAATGCAGAAGTGTTGGAGTAGTAGGGAGGGACACACAGAGCAGAGTTCAACACTTCAACACAACAGCCTCCAAGTATATCCTCCTTCTGGACAGTTTAGCTGACAAAGCACTCGTACCACAGTTCTTATTTAGTTGCCGTGATTGTGGTTTTCCTGTAACTTACTGATGAGTGGATCATCATTCTTGGAGTTTTCGTTTACCTGTAAAGAGTGGAGAAGGGAGTGGAGAAGGTGAAAAAGGGACTTTTACAAAACACACCATTTGGACAGCAGTATACCCATACAAAACCAAACTTTCTACAGACATCCTGAACTTAAAAAACAAAAGCATCTGTCTGCCAACACTAGAGAGATGACTTAAAAGAGCAACAACAAAATTTATAGTAAATATTGAGAAGAAAAGACTTTTTGGGGGGAGTGGAGGGGAAGAAGTTTCTGTCAAAAACAAGATTAACATTACACAGGTGTGGAGCAAGCAACAACACCAGACATAAGTAGGCACTTCGGGAAACAGATTTAACCACTAAAAGGAAACAAAGAACGCTTAAATTTAGTGCAAGATAAGAATAACTAAGCAACCCAACAGGTTAAGCTTTACATTTTGCACCCATTACTGGTCTCCAGTACCACAGGTGGATGTCTTTCTAATACTAAACACTAAAGCTCAACTTTTTTAAAGTTCTGTTCTTTTAAAATTCACACACACCCCTCCTTCAAATATTGCAGCGGTAAAGCTTAAAAACTCTGGAAAGAAGGGAAGAAGCCTCTAGCTTTGTAGTTGCAATAACTCACAGTATATGGAGCTTTTCTCTTCTGGTCAGTACAGTTTCGAGTGACCACACAAGGTATTTACACTTTTTCTTAAGCAGAGAAACACCAGCCAAAATCCACAAATGTGAAACAGCAAACTTTGTTTAAAAGTAGATGTTTGTTCACATAACTAACAACCGGAGCCTTGTAGTGCCTTCTATCCCAGTCTCAACAGTATGAAATGCTCCTGTGATACAACCACAAAAGCTCAAAAATCTCTCTTTAGTAGACAGAATGGCAATTTGACTGATGACACTGCCTACATATCTAGTTTGGAAAACTGTTTCAGTTCAAAGCTTGATGGGCTCAAAGGAAAAGTGTACATGAAGTCTTTTGAGAAATGAGGAAAAAAACAAACAGAAAAACAAACAAAAACCCACATCATCAACCATGTTTGTGATTTGAGCTACTAAAAAAGAAAAGGGTTGATTTCCCAGTTAGGAATTTCCTAATATTTATCTTAGTTAAAATACAACTTAGTACTGCTCCTTCAAATTTCTAAAATCACTGTCTTGAAAACAGAAATAGAAAACGTGGACCTAATTTAAGATACTGACATTTTGTTCTTCACAAGATGTCTATCTTCACAGAACTTGCCCTTTCAGTTGCCTCAGGCACACTGCCAACTTTAAATGTCATTAGAACTGGTCTAGAGACATATGAGGTCCCTAAGTCTACATGCAGCAGAATTAGCAAACTTGTCCTTTGGGAACCTGTGCAAAACACATACCTGTATCTTTTTTTTCCAAATTTGCTGTCTCCACTTTTTAAAAGATTTTACTTGTGAATAATTTATAAATACACAGACAAATCTTTGAAAATGCCAAGACAATGGAAAAATGCTCAAGATAGTAGCATAGAAAGCATCTAAGCCCCTCAACTGCCTATCAGCATGTTGCTGTTAATTTAAGTGGCTTTCAATATTGATCATTGTCTACGGGGACTCATTACAGCAAGGACGACCAACAGGTCCTTAACCTTTGAGCCATAAAGAACACAGAAATTGTGATTCAAGGGCAACTCATTATCATCACTGCAAACAACATAATAGCAAAGAGGTGCAAATTTAGTGGTATACCTACATGAAAGAAGTGCATTGGCTTCTAGTTGATCTAGTTGGAGATATCCCAACTGATCTAGTTGATCTAGTTGGAGATATCCCTGTTCCTTGCAGGGGGGTTGGACTAGATGACCTTTGAAGGTCCCTTCCAGCCCTAACCATTCTATGATTCTATGATTCTAAAGTAAAACTTTAATACACTTGAACTGAACGGGGGAGTGGGGAGGGCTGGAGAACAAAACACATGAATGGCCACTTGCTCCAAAGTACAACCACCAAGAAGAGATTCAACCCACCACAGAGCTCACATCTTGTTCCTTGCTGTGCTTGCTCCTATCAACAGGCCTCTTTAAACTGCCCACCAGGATTAAACCACGACAGCAAAGCAAGATAAAACTTCTAACAGGCTACACCTTGTTTCCAGTCTACCACTTTCCTGAGGTCCCAACTTTCCTGCCTAGCATGCTCAATATATAAACAAAAGGCAGCTGACCACTTTGCAGGCACATGCATAAACAGAGTCACACAAAGCTCCTTCTAGAAGTGGATCTCGTTATCCACTGTGGTATTCTGACACTGAATTGATAACTACAAACTTTAGTCCATGAATGTCTCTTTTCCCAACAATCCTGCAAGATCCACGCCTACAGAAAACTCCTACCTGTAAGGAAAACCCACTACCCAAGACTTTCTGTTGAAACTGCATCAAAATGAAGTTACAGAAATAAAAGAATAATATCTACAGACAGGTCTGCAACGGTTAAATCTTTATCAGCTAAATTCCAGTTCAACTTTGAGACAAAGTATTAGCTGCCCTAAATCCAGAATATGAACAAAATGTTTGTTATGGGTAGTGACTGCCTTGTTGTCCACCAAAGCACGGGAGGGGAGAAACAAACAAACAAAAAAGGTATCTGTAGCTCTACGTGACTGGCCACCGGCTGATTCTAGCATGGTGAAGAGCTACTTATCCACCCACTTCCACCTCATGTCAAACTGGAGGCAATGACAGCATCCAAACCACCTTGAAAGGAGTGATCTTATCAGTATTCAAACCAATTGAAAACAGTACCTTCTTTCAGCATCAAGTGGAAGGAGCTCACTTTGCAGTCCGCACTTGGAACTTTTCTATGCCATTTCAACTCCTGGTACCTGTCAATATAAAGTCATACAAATTTTAACATGGAATGTTTCTTATTTAAGTCTAAAGCACGTTATTACTTTTCCACTAACATTTTCAAAGTACAGTTAAGAGGCATTTAAAATGACCAGAATGGCCCATGCAGATAAAACTATATGTATCAAAAATACAGTGATGCAAAGTACTGAAAAATTAATGTATTAGTCTCAGGACAGGAGGGGTAAAACAGTAATAATGTTAAAAAAAAAAGTAATTGGTATTTCTCATTTCAGGGTTAATTTAAAATATCTGAATTAAGGATTTTGCATTATAAAACAACTTCTGTGCAAGACTTTTATGCCAATTTCTCAGCTTTTACAGTGCTCCGGTTTCACAATCTGTATGAAAGGCGAGCTGTTCATTTAGCAACTCCAATTTGTTTTTTGAGGAATACCAGCACACAGAAACGGTCCAAGTCAAACAAGCATGCGGTTGCCGAATTTATGAAGAAGAAAAACAAAACGCATCCAGGATTTTTGCTCGAGTCCCTGATGAAAACTCTCCAAACTTCAGAGCTGCTGCTGGAAACAAACCTGAAACTTGATTCAGCTCAGTAGCTTTTTAATGGATAGCTCACTCCCACCAGGCTGTGGCTCCAGAGGCTGCTGCCAAGCACCGTCTCCGCTGTGACCAGCACGGGTCCGGGGCTGCCACGGCAGCTCCTCGCTAGGTTTGACACTGACGTTTCTCCAGGCGTCTCTTTCACCCAAAGCTTTGCTCTTGCCGTCATACAAACAGTTAAAAGAGAGCCCCCGTTTGACCACCGTTATGCAACAAACAGTTGCTGAAGCTTTTTACCGGGTCAAGAAGATTTACGCCAAGCTTCATCCTGCTTCCTGTTAACAAGTATTGTAAAAAAATGTGGAAGCGTTCAGCGCTCCTACAGTTTTCACTTTTATACCGTATTTCCTACCTGGGTTCGTACACCGCGATACATAAGGAGGAAGCAGACAAATGGAAAATAAAAAAATGATTCCCAAGGAGGCTATCCGGTGCCATAAAGAGCAGGAAAACCCGCAGCCGCGCGCAGAGGTAGCGGGACGGCGCAAACACACCGTGCACCAGAACAAACGGCCTCAAAACACGCCCGAAACCAAGTTTCGGGGTGCGCTTGTTCGGAAACCATCGGCACTGCAGACCACCTGCCGAGGAGCGGA